GCGAGTGGGAGGCTTCACTGCTCATCGGTCCCTAAAAGCTGTCTCTTATACACATCTAGATGTGTATAAGAGACAGCACACACACACACACACGCGCGCGCGCACGCAGAGAGGAGTCCTTTGATTTCACTCTCTCCCGCTTATGCCTCTTTGAGTTCCTTGTTCCTTGTCCCTTTCTTTTTTTGCCTTTTAATTTGTTCGTTTGTTCTGTTGCTCGTGTCCATTGCATGGTTCATGTTTTCAGTTGGGGTTGGGTGGTTTTTTATTGTCCGTTTGTTTTTGCTTCGCGTGCTTCATCTGTGTTTTTTTTCCTGTTCATTCATTTTGTTTGCTTCTTTTTGTTTCTTTTTTTGTTTTTTGTGAAGGGCGGCGACCCTGAGATATCATTTTTGAGCTGACTGACCCCAGGCAAATTGAGAAATTCAGAGGTATTTTAATTTTGAAGTTTGAACTCTTTTAACTCGTTTGATTCAGATGCAGCAGGTCTGTGTTTCAACAGTCCATAGGTGCACCAACTGAGCTAGGCCAGTCTGTGATTTTAGAATTTAAATTGTATTTTCCGCGGATGCTGGTCGAAGAATGGGTGTCGGTGTCGACCCCCTTTTTTGTTACGTGACTCCGTGCTCCGCTGACAACGAGCGTGGGACTTGTGGGACTAAGCAGAATCAGAGATCGGAGCCAGAAGATCGAGATAATCGAAGTGATTGTGAGAGAAGAGTCGAGGGTCTGATTTTTTTCTGAAAAAAACAACAGAAAATGTGGAGAGGGTGAGGGGAGTGGGCAGATAGGTCGATGGATCGATCGAATGATCTCAATATAGTCCGAACGAAAAAGTGCTATCTAAGTGACCTGTCACTTAGATAGGAAAAGAGAAAAGAATAGGACAGCAGTGCTATCAAGTTGAGGGTTCAAAATGCTGGGAGAGAAAGGATAAAGAGAAAAGAATAGGACAGCAGTGCTATCAAGTCACACGTCACAGGTCGAGGGTTCAAATCCCCGGGAGAGAAAGGTACAAGAAGAGGAAAGGAAAAGGAAGAAAGAAGGAAAAGAACAAGAAAAGGAAAAACGAAAAGAAGAAAAACAAAGAACGAACATCAGCGCCACGTCAAGCGGCTAAAGGAAGGGAAGAAGAGAAAGGCCTGATTCAGTCAATGTGCAAAAGGAGAAAGAATTCAATGAATCTTACGCTAGAATATGGTGGGAAGATACACCGCCATATTTTTGGTCTTTTGTACAGGTGGATGGTAGTGGACCCGCGTTCAAAACCAGGCAGCTATGAATTTGTATTCGAACGTGGGGAGCCAAATGCGTTTGCGCTGCTGAAGTCTGGGGAAAAAGCGCGCGGCCAAAAAAAAAAAAAAAAAAAAAAAACGTGACTTCTGCCTTGCCCTGGCTCCGGCTGTGAATCGTGCGCGAGAAAATGGGAAGATGACCCCGGACAGAAAGGGGGAAAAAAAAGGGGCCCCCGGATGTTCGAAATGAGAATGAATCTTGCGCTAAAACATGGGAAGATACACCACCTCCATATTTTTTGTCTTTTATGCGTAGTTCATATTTCTGATGAATATTTTATGCAATTATTATTCACTAGAAATCAATCATTTGACATGAAGAATTTTGATAAGACTCGTAAGAGTAACAATTATGGTTCGTCAGTGGACCCCGGACAGAAAGGGAAAAAACAAAAGACCCCAGATGTGCAAAACAAAATGAGAATGACTCTTCCTGTAGTAGAACATGGGAAGATACACCTCCATATTTTCGGTCTTTTATCAAGTTTTATGCATGTGGGTGGTGATGGACCTGCGTCCAAAATCGGGCAGCTATGTGCATTTGTATTTGAACGTGAGAGCCAACGAAAGCGTGGATTCTACACGCATGTGCGGCACAGAACCCCCACGAAAAAGCGTTGGGAGGCCCTAGGGTGAAAACGACAAACAAATGCAGATTCTGCCTTGCCCTGGGTCTGGCTGTGGGCCCAACGCGGAAATGGGTTTGTCAGGCAAGAGCCACTATTTCCATTACGAAGTGAGTACAGGATAAAAAAAAATGAACGGGCACAAGAGACACATGCCTCACCTGCCTATAGTTGGCACGGGGCCTAGACGGCTTAAAAAGTTGCGGATATGGCCTTGGACTGAGCCACGGCCCCCCCACAAAATAGGACAATGCGGGCCTGAAGGAAGCCTACCTACCATATCTGACAATGCGGCAGATCTGTGTATGCCACACTTCCCCTCTGTCAGAAGATCCCAAACCTCGGAGTGAAAAAACGCACAAGGGAAATATTGCTGTCCGGCTCGGTAGTTTTTAATGAGCTGCTTTTCCCGCCGGAGGCCTACCTACCATATCTGCCGAGCTGACGATGATTTTCCACTAGTCTGACTGAAAAGGCTTCGACTGTTAACACTGATTCTACTACTCATTGAGTCATACGGGGGTTCGGCTGTTAACAAACACCTCCTCATAATAGAGTCATAGGTGCTAGGATCAATAGACACAAAATCTTATCATGACAATGCGGGCTTTACTCGCGCGGCACCATTATCATGATGTCACCATCGCTAAGCAAATTTAGCGAACTCAACCCTCCCTTCTGCCCATATACCACTCAGGTTGAAAAGTGCTTCCCGCACTCGAAGTTAGGCAACTTATACCGTCTATGCCTATGCTCCTCTCGTACTTCCCTTCGATTTCGAAAATTTACTGCGAGAAACAAATGTAAAACAAAACAAAATAAAATAAGATAAAATAAAAGAAGTAAGGATCCGCCAAGAGCAATGAGAGGGATTGCATGCTGAGGTCGCCGCCAGTCTTCCCGTTGATGTAGCCTATCGTTGTGTAGCCGTTGTACTTGGCTTCCCGGTTTCCCAGTCTTCGCGGCCCTAGGTGGACGTGTCGCAGCAAGTTACCGGGAGTTTGCTGTCATTCCAAATGCATGTATGTCAGGTTAGCTCTCACGAATGGATGCCAGTCAGTCGAACCGTAATCACAACATTTTGTTACATACCATCACTCACCATAGGATGTCATAGAAGGATGACCACTAGGGTTAAACCACCAGTACTTGGCCCAGCTATCGTTGCTGAGCCTGGAATCCCCCTGCGCGCCAATTTTTGCCGAAGCGCCAGGGTACCGTTTCAATTTTTTTTGGCTGGCGCTTCCAGCCATTGAGGTCCGGTACCCCGAATCCCGAACTTTGCGTAGCGTTAACGGCAACGGCCCACGGCCGATGTATGGGCCAAGTACTGGTGGTTTAAGGGTTTAACAGATTAGACACAACAACATGAGGCAACAAACAGATGGACAGTATTCGACAGTCAAAAAAAAGCTACAAATGGATAGCTCGCAAGAACAGAAGGCTGGGCTGCTCACTGCCCGGTCCCCCCATGCTCATCGACACTTCATGTTCACATAAATTGTTTTCATTGTTCCTCACAGGGACGCTGGACCCGATTTCCAGCAGGTGCTGCTCCCCACCAATAGATGGAGCCTCCCCGACAGTACTAGTGGTGCCTGCTCGTATCAGCACCCCTAGCACTCGCTCGGGCAGTTTCTTTAAAAAAAAAAAAAAAAAAAAAAAAAAGTTACGGTTTTCCTACTATGTGCCCATATTTTTATTACCCACAGTAAAAGTAGGCTTCCCAAGTTGCCTATGCCAGTTGCCGCTCAGTAAAAGTAGGCTTTAGCTGATCAGAGTGGGCAGGGCCGGTCCTGACCCTGTTCAGATTCGACCCGTATCCGGCCCGCCGCCGGGGAGCCAGCTTTCCTTACTTTGCGCTCCGATTTACTTTGGCTAATCAGAGTGGGATGGCCTCGAGAGCTCGATCCGGGTCCAAATCAATTTCTCTTGTACATCAGAGTGGGATAGGCCCCAGAGCTCGATCCCGCCGCAGATCGATTTCTCTTGTACCATTTTGCCAGCTGGTGCGCCAGCTCTTCCTAGAAACCACCGCTGCTCGTTCCGACTTTCCTAGGATATTCGAGCCATCCGACTTCCCTGCTTAGTGTGATCAGAGCAAGCCATGCAGCCGACTTCGTATTGGTGTTCTGCTTAACACGCTGTCTTTGGCAGTCGATCCCTCCATGTGGGAATGGAGGCCCCAGGCCTCCCAGCAGAAGCCTGAGCGCCTCCACCAAGTCCGCACCAAAACCATATATCGCTCGCTAACACCCCGGGTCCTAATGCATGCCGAGATCAAATCCCGCTGGCAAAAGCGGAACCACCTACCACATGCTGTCGAGGCAACATGGGATGAGGCCTCTTCGGGAAAGACTTGCACCAGTCTACAACACCTGCCAAACCAGAAGCACGCCGGTCTGCTGTGG